CCACAAAGCAACCCACTTTCACTAATACCTGGATTGATCTGTTTTTTTTGCAAACCTTGAATATCTGTATGGCATAAAAATTACTAGACTATCGTACCATCATGGTTTATCAATCTCAACATAATTAATGAATTCTAATGAAAATTAAAAAACTATTTCCGAATGTACTGAACAAACTTAAACGAAATTCCATAAGAATTAATATTCGTGAAGTACCCAAGCTTACTTGAACTGAAAACTCAATCACCATATCTGCAACTTCTAACAAATCTAAAACTGTTTTTGAACTTGATTCGAATCACGTTAAGCGACATCTATATACCGATGAAAGAAATCATAATTAAAGTTGCAAAAAAGATTCAAAAATTTTTCGAATTTGATTCCAATATCGTTAAACAAAATCTAAACCAAAGAAACAGAGCACAATTAAACTGCAAAAACAATGTTAAAAGTTTTCGAACTTGATTCGAAAACCTCTTTGAACGGAACCTTTACAAATAAAGCAGAGCACAATAAAATTGCAGGAAAGGCACAAATGCGAAAAAGAGCTTCGTACCTCTTGCGAAACAACTCAAACGTAAAAAAAACTTGAGTCGAAATAAAACAAGACTGCTCGTATCAGGGCAAAGCCCTGAATGTTCCGACAGCCTTTTAAGGTTTATGGAGCAGTAATAACACTTAAAAATTCAATGAAATAAAAACAAAATCAAAAAAAAATTTTTAAAATTTGAAATTTTTTATGAAAATCATTCCCCCACACGCCATACAAAGTACAAAAGGATAAATTTCGCTCCTTGTAACAAACCAATTATGGCACATAAGCTTCTTTTAACCAATTTGGAACGATTTCTAAGACGGATTAACTCTCCACTTACGCGTTAATAGCGCGAAACATATCGCGCGTTAATTGTCCCAAATTGACAAAAATGGCAATCTTTAAACCCCCGTAACTTTACGAAAAATGATCACAGGTGAAATATCTTTTCAAACTTAAGCTCAGGACAACAATAGCTTTCGAATGATATAAATAATTTCCGTCAAAAATGGTTAGTTAAAAAGTCGAAATTTGTCTGAAGAAAAAAAAACCCACCCCGAGCACAAATATTCCGTTACTTTCGTATCGAAAGTCGGAACAATAAAATGTTTAAAAAAAACTAGGTTAATCAAAAGTTTTGTATGTTTTGATACCAAAACAACTAGGAGCCCAGCTAAAGCTGGAGGTGCGTGCTTGATAATGAATAAATTTGCTAACTGATGCAGCACGAAAAATGTGATTTCAAAAACTGGACTCAGCCCAAAACTTAACTTCTTTCTCTACAAAAATAAGTCAGATGAGTATCAAATTTTGAGATAATCATTTTTACCAAGGAGATAATATTTCCTGTACAAAAGATTAAGGAGTTCCCGCGTCTGCAGCAACATTTATCGCAACCGGTTTTTTCAATTGAATATTTCATTACAGATATGTTCATTACAAAAATTTCTAAGAAACAGCCAAAAATTTTAAGAACCGGGTTTTTAGGTTGAACACAACCTGAAAATTGGTACGGTAGTTTTCGTGCAAAGACAAAAAATTTCTGAAAAGCTGTAAAAGTTTCAAAGCTTTGACTCATTGGCAGGGCATAACTTTTTTCCTAAGCAAACTGTGGATGGCCAATTATAAACTTAGGCTTTCTTTTTGCATGATAGTTAAGGAGAAAACTCCAAAAACACCAAAAAATGGCCAAGAATGACAAAGTTTGACATTTCTGAGAATTATAGCTTTTTGTGAGAAAAATAGTGCGTAGTCGCTTGTACAGAAGAAATTCATGCTACTGTAGTTTCGATTGAACCCAAAATGTCATATTTGGAGAGGGTTGTTTTCATACAGAAAAACGGTCAAAAAACGAATGCCATATTTTTGGTGTCCAAAAAATTTAGGCTTAGTCGCAAAAGCAAATTAACTTTTTACAACTCGTTTTTTGAATTGATTTCAAAATCTCAGACTGAGGTTATCACTACCCGTTATTTTATTGAATACAAAACATCAGATTTGAAAGAGAAATTTTCGTAAAAATCAAAAAGAAGCACATAACACTCAAAAATAAAAAAAATCGAGTATTCCGAGTGTCTTTATTTATATGTTCAAAACATTTAGGCGTAAACGCATATGCAGGGAGCTTTTCAAATTCGTATTATTTTCCATTGAAACAAAAACTCAGATTTGAGAGGAGTAGTTTTCAAAAAATGGAAAAAATTTAAAACATGGATCAAATATTTCCCCACAAGAACATCGATCAAATCTTACCGCACAGCTTTTTTTGGAGGGCTGTAGACAGAAGTGAAGAAACAAGAAGCTCTAGGGGAGTATGCAAGCTAACGGGGAATATGCAAGCTTTCAACTGATACCCATTTTATGAAAATCAGTGGAAGCTTCCGAGGAAAACTAAAGTTTTTCCAGTAAATTTTTTATAATAAAAAAAGCAATTTCATTAAACCGATAAGTAAACATACAAACAATTTGAAAAGTGCAAGTTGGAGTGTTAAAATTGCGTTTTCCCTAATATGATAAAAAATTAGGTCTTTAAGACGATGAAAAAAAACAGGCTAAAACAATTTTGAGCCGAGGAATTTGTTATAGCCGATTAAGGAAATACCAAATCAAGGTAATTAAAATTACATTTTGTAGGAGGAAATCAAACATCAAAAGCAACGTTAAAAAATGCGCGCAGCAAAAAACGGTTCCAAGACGTGAAACTAAGCCGACAACAACAGGTAAGCAGACAAATAATCGGCCTACAGTTTTTGTTTAAACAGAACATTTCCAGTTTTTCTTTCACACAAAAACTATGATTTACGGAAATATAAAAAAAAAAACAAGTTCTGGTCAGATTAGATCCCAAGACTTTTACCGTTCAAATTTCACATCTCATGAAACGCGGGAACTTTATCACAAAATTTTTTGAAAGATGATGTTAAATTATCTGCAGTTAGAATAACTAACAGTATGCTTCGCGATCAACGTTTGATTAAAACATGCTGTATTCTAAGCGAGTAGTATGCTATACTTATTGTAATTGCTAACGCCCTATTTCACGAGAAATTTTAAAAAACCTAAACATATTCAACAAAATTTAATTTGACCAGCCGCCCTTGCATAGCCGTTCACTTGTTTTGCCGTGCTAAATCAGTTTTGGCTTTTTGAAATGCTACCATTTATCGCCTGCGCGTTTAAGCTTTTCAAAGTCTTTTGATAGAGAGGATTTCGCAGTTGTTGTATACACGTAAGCAAAATTGAAGAGCAAGGCTGCCAGCTGTTGCTCGTTCCCAGTAGTCGCCTGTTCTAATGTCGAGGCTCGGTTATATTAGACGCTCTTTGTCTTGAAGAAAAAATGTTGCGTTTTTTTTAATGTTGTCCTCCTCGAAATTAGAAAAAATTGCGCCCAGTTTCATACACAGATGCGAAGCAGAGCCTCGAACTCTTTGCGATGGAAAATGTATGCCTATAAAAAAATTTAAACTGGCCAGCTATGCAGAAAACATGTAATGAAACTATTTGTGAACAGCACACTGATGAAAAAAAAACGATTTCTAATTGTTTTTTAGATAAAACAAAATGCAATTATCCAAAAACGGTATACATTTTCCAACAATCAGAAAAATAAGATTAAACTAAAAACACATATGTGGGCTGTTCACCAGGAAAAAAGATAAGACGATTCCAGAAACAGCTATTGAAAATGATAAATTTCAAAAACAATTAGAAAAAAAACAGTTCAAATTCAAATTTCTTGCTTGAAAACAATTTTCATAAAAGAACTCGAATCCAACAACAATGCAGAAACAAGAAAGAGACGCTGCTGAAAAAACAAGTTTATAGAAAGAGAAATTGGAACGAAAACTCAACCAAAAATGCAATTAAACTTAAATTGCTAAGAAAAGACCCAAAGATGTACCATTGAGCCATTTTCAAAAAATGAATGATCACGGAAACGTATCAATTATATCTGGAATTGAAATAAATTTGAATAGTTTTTTTTAATTGGCCAAAAAAACGCGAAAATTATTTCGATACAATTTTAACAACAACTGAATTTAAACGATTACTTAAAATTAATCAGGAAAAGTAGCAGACAGCAACTCAAGTTGACAGAGTAAAACAACAAATGCATCTAGCATTTTTGAACAAAATTACTGAAAATTTTATGTTGATTTAATTCTGATTTGACAGGATTGCAGGCTAAGAAAAATGTAACAAAAATGAGCTAAAACTAATGATCAATTTTATTTGCACCAAAAAGATTGCGATAGATACAACCGATCGATCAACCGAAAAAAAAAGTTCGAACTATTTCGGTTACTTAAACTGAGAAAAACCAGCAGAAAAAATGTAAAAATTTTGAATATTTTTTATGTTTAATTTTTTTTTTCAAGAGTGTAGAATGTTTATTCAAAATTTTCCATAATTTCATTTCAGAAATCAATCATTCCCGCATAATTCCAAAAAAAATAATCGAAAAAAAAAACATTCGGAAAATAAGCCGATGAAATCATAGCCGACTTCTGCCAGCGCCCAAATTCTACCGAAATTTTTCAGCACAGAAAAAAATACTCTTAGAAAAGCATACCTAATATGCAACAACTGCACACTACACAAACCATCGTGTTAATGGAATGCTTACCATTCCATTTCGTCCATTCTATGTACAAACCTGTTTAGGGGAAAAGTCTAGTACCCGATAGTAATACCCTTGCTTATCGCAAGGGTAATATATGTTAGGATTAACCGGCCACAATTTGGTGAAGTAAGATGGAGAAATCCAAAGGTACCTCAGGTTATCGGGGTAGTAAAGTTGATCGGGGTCCTTGGTTGATGACGAGGTTAAATTTTGGAGTCTGGATAGAAGCGCTCAAAAGAAAGCAAAAAAAATACTTTCTGCTTCAACGCTACCAGTTGAGCGCTACAAAGGGTCACAAATAAATTAAAAAGATGGAAACATATGAATGCAAATCAAACATAATTACAGATACTTGCTAGTTTTGCTGCTTGAAAACTTTGAGGAAAAGGCTTGACAGTTTTTGATCAGTTTATTTTTTGCGTCTGAGTCTAATAACCGCGTTTTCATATCTCTTTCGCGGTTAAATGGAACTCTTTCTAATTTTTCGTCCTTCTGTTTTTCTGCCTTTTCATTCTCGATTTTTCGGTGCTCGTCAAGAAGCGAGGACGCTTTTCGTTTATCCGACAACTCTCTCGCAATTCGTTCCTGTTCGAAATCACGTGACCCTCGCTCGGCTTCGTCGGCGTCGATTGGAATTTTACTACGAGATGAAGTGTCAAATTTTCGGGGACCGCTACCAAAATTTTTGGTCAAAACTTCTGGAACCAAAGTCATCCATTCCTCTCTTTGCACTTTTTTCTCGCTGACGTCTTTTCGCACCATTTTCGGTCTTTTAGCTGTCGGCTCTCCCGAAACTAAGTCGGAAAATATAGGACCGATTGTTGGGCCATCGGCTTCTTGTGGTTCCGCCGCTATCTGCGCCTCAGATCTTTCTTCTAGTTTCGATGCACCAGACTCTGACAATGGCGGAGGCAACGCGGGGCCGAACTCATCATCGGATTCCGAATCACTTTTTATGTGGTCATTATATGACTGTTTGGCCTTCGGATTCGGATCGTCATTGTCAGTTTCCAACTGTTCGGGTATATTATGGCGCAGATGAGGCGGTAGGGTGGGGCCGATGACAACTCCGTTTTTGCTCATTTTGGCATCTGATCTAAAACTGAATTACCAATGACCATGGCCATGAAATTGGTGCTAGGTAAATAACACAAGACATTAAGTCGACAAATGAAAGTTAAAACATGTAAATTGAACAATTCGAATTTAAGCTAAGATCCCGGCGCGGATCTAAGATTTTCTCGGATTTTCTTTTTTTAGGTCGACCAAATTTATTTTCTGAGCTCTTTGAGGCAATTAATAAAGGTCGACGAGAAATCCTACCTAAATCCGCGCGTAACCATTAACCATTAATAGCGATTTGGAGAGAGGTTTTTTTTACTTTTGTTACCGGGGGCAGGCATGCAGCTTGTAATGAAGAAAGATCTTCAGCTCTTTTCCAGTTCCCCCTTCAAAATATAGACTTTTCAATATTGAATTTGAAAGGGGGGACTGGAAAAGAGCCAGATCTTCGTCTTAATAACTATTCGCCCACCAGGTGGAATTGAACCACTCTGTCGCTAGACAGCTACAGGTTTGAAGCCTGCACCCCGGACCACCGAAGCTCAGGTAGGCGACAACTCATATGGCCTACATTGTCGAACACCACTGATTTCAAAGATATCTTTATCAGCTAACAACAACGTAATTGGCTCTGCATCATCTACAAGTTCGCATAAGCAATGCAAAAATTTCCACCTTTACCATATTATCTTTATGTCACACTAATTTCGTGAGATAGGTTTACCATCATAGCTGCCTTCGAATTGCATAAATTATAGCGGATATTGGCCCAAATACCACACTTGCTTCATATTGAACATCATTTTAAACATTCGACTTGACTACGTAGAAGTCGCTCATGCGAGGGGATCCATTTCCTTGAGTGGTTTCAGATGCAATTAATGTGCAGAAAAAATTGCCTTGAGAAAACTGGAATATTTTCAAATAATTCTTGACTACTCAAACTATTTCATTTACTAAATCAATCAGTAATATTGGTTTGGTTATTGTCGTTATTTTTTCATTTCGGTAGTTTCTTCATGTCTCGCTATCTCCGGGTGCTGTACATTTCATCATCTTCCTTCCCACCCTGACCGAAATCCTGGGCAGTTCTGTCTTTCTTCAGCGAATCCCAAGAAGCACCTGCTTTTTTCAGCTTAAAAACGAACGAATATCAGATTAGGCCGTTATTTCAGGTTTGATGAACGTCTGCATTATTTTAACGATGAATTGAAATTTGTTGAATGCAAAAGTCTCAATGGTGGTTAAAAGAAGTTTTTTGTATCGAAATGCGTGATTCGATAAAACAAGACAAAGCAAAAAAATTATGACAAGTGTGGGATTCGAACCCACGCATCCGAAGATACTAGGGCCTAAACCTAGCGCCTTAGACCACTCGGCCAACTTGCCTTAATAAAACAAAACTTCGATCTAACCAAGAACGGCCGCACATTGCATTACAGAAAGTGGTTCCATATGTAAAAATGCGATCAGTCAGTCAGCTCAGAAATATTAAAGTTCTGATTTGGTCTGTTCCACTTTCCACCCCCCCCCCCCCCATTTTTCAAAGTTTTCATTTTCTTAGGTGTTTTAACGTGCTATTAAGTCTGAACGATGCAAGGCATGAAGAACAAATGTGCTCACAATAGTTAGTTCGTTCACCATGCAAAAATTCATTTCATATTTCGCGCTATTAACGCGTAAGTGAGACTTAATCGTTCCAAATTGGCTAAAGGAGGCTTATATGCCATAATTGATTTATAATAGGAGCAAAATCTATAACTTTGTACTTAATATGGCGTTTGGGATGTTTTCACAAAAAATCTCAAATAGAAGAAAAATTTCAATTTTGTTTTATTACATTTAAGTATTTCATGTTATTTCTGCTCCATAGACCTTAAATGACAGTCGAAACTTCAGGGCTCCGATTGTTAAGCAGACCAATCTTTTATCATTAAAAGTGAAAAATTGAGTACTTTGGTAGGCCAACGCAAAAAACAGATGCATGGTTGATTGACAGACTCCAAAAGACGCTCAGTCTTGGGTCACGCTTCCTCAATAAAAACATTTATCCCAAGATTTGTCAACAAAAAGATCAACTCCAAAAACACAACAGACTAAATTAGCGGCAAAACAATGATCTACGCGCCCAAAAAACTCATTTGAAGTTTGCTTTCTGACTTGCTAATTGTTCTGGGTCTGCTAAAAAAACCGGTCAGCTATTTGTCATCATAACTGAATTTTTGGTGTGTTTTTTTGAACTTTCTATCTCAAAAAGGCGTAGGGAGATGTTTAACGAAGTAACAAAATCTATTTGTTTGAAAAGAAACTGCGACACCATTCTGTATGGCAAAATGATAATTTTAAAGCAATTTCAGAGCCCAAGGTTTCTTTTTCTCAAGGAGCTGGTTATTTTCAAGGTAACACTTTATCAACCAACAAATCAGTGGGATTTGTGATCAGTATTTTTACATTATTGCAACAAAATTGCAAAAATTGGGCGGAATAAAAAATTCCCAAATAATTTATACACAAATTATTTTGTAAAAAAAATTATAACACGCGGGACCTGTCTATCAAAGTTGTTTGTTTTCGTGGGACCACTGTATCATAGTAGTACCGCCGAAAAAAGCCTCTCAATTAAACTAACTGGACAAAACTAACAAAATTGATAAAAGAATGAAATCTATTTGTCCCAATCGTTTCAGTAACAAAGTTCATCAAAATAACGGCACTTTGGAACCAAGCAAACAACGCCCCCACCCCAAACAAAAATCCGTTTAGGGGTGAGGTGAGGATTTTAGCTTGGTTCTGAGTTCGAACTTTGAATCAACCAGCTTAGAGCATTTTACATGCAGCGCTTAGCAAATTGAATTTAAACGAAGTGAACACTAAAAAGGGCTGAAGGAGCTTAACTTGTTATATTAGGAAGACCGATCGTTTAGCAGGCCAATCTTTTATAATAAAAAGTCAAAAATCAGTCTTTTGGTATACCAACGCATTAAACTGATGCATGGTTGAGTGACAGACTCAAAAGACACTCAGTCTTGGGTCAAGCTTCCCCAATAAAGACAATTATCTCACGAGTTGCCAACGAAACGAACAACTTCAAAAATATAATTCTAAATTAGCGGCAAAACAATGATCTACGCGCACAAAAACACTCGTTTGAAGTTAGCTTTCTGACTTGGTAATTGTCCTGGTCAGGACACGACGTCTATTTACACGACGTATGTACGGTCCATACTAACCTACAACTGCTCAACCTGGCATGCTAACAAGGGCACGAACGATAAACTTGATATTCTTCACAGAAAACACCTGAGAAGGGTACTGAACATTCATTACCCGAAAATCATTTCCAATGATGTGTTGTACGAGGTAACGAGAACTGTACCTCTTTCAGAATTTGTGACTGAGCGAAGACGCAACCACCTGGGACACGTATTACGACGAGACACGACCATCAAGCAAATCTACGAACACGTGCAAACTCTACCCAAACGAAAAGGAAAAGGACAGAAACCAGCCAACCTGTTGAAGACCTTCAGAAAGGATTTCCAGACCGACGACGTCCACATCCTGGAAGAAAAAGCTTTCGCAAGAACATTATAACCTTAATGCGCTCTTGATATGATTCATTCATTCAATTGTCCTGGGTCTGATAAAACATTGGTCTGATAAAACATTGGTCTGATAAAACATTGGTCTGATAAAACATTGGTCTGATAAAACATTGGTCTGCTAAAAAAAACCGGTCTGCTAAAATACCTAGCACCATATTTTTGGTTAACTTGATCCGCACGCTTTGCTTGGTGTCTGGCAAACAAAACGACATCTGTTAGGACGACAACTGTTTTTGAAAAGACTTAGGACGACGCTACACGCAATTCTCCAATATAAACTGCTTAAATTCAAAAAATTATTTTAAATGTTTTAACGATCATTTGTCGTTAAAACATTTGAAATTCATTTTAAATGTTTTAACGATCATTTGTGTTTTAACGATCATCTCTCAATGTCCTGTCGTTAAACTAGTATCACATTACCTAGTAACAAGTATGATAGTTCGCTCCCAAGAAAAAGCAGGAATGAAAGATGGGTCCCGCAATTTTGCGAAAACTTCAAAAACCGAAGTAAACAAATGAGTACAAACGTGACAGATGGATCTCTTGTCTTTTTACTTATTCCGCTCAATTGTTGCGATTTTGTGATAATCAATGTATCAATGCGGAGAAAAAAAACAAAGCACTGTTGCACTGCTCGTTTGGTCTAAGTTATTTGACATTCAAAACCAAGTTCAGATTCCCCTTGAAGAAGCTGAAAGAGTTGCCAGACATTAACCGTGTCCTGTCTCAATAGGAAAGCCACGATCGAATTTTGATCTTAGGTCCAATGGCCTAATGCGCAAGCAAGCTTACGAAATGAACAATCATTATTTATCAGTTTCGTGCTTTTGCTTTCTTGTCCTGAATTCGATTGGTTAATACAGCATGTGTCTACTTACTGACAAGTATGAGTACGCGGTTGTCTAATTACTGCTAAAAAACCCACGCTTCGCTGTCACCTTGCACATAAACATGCTAACAAATTATTTGTACAGTAGTCACTTACGTATCTACTAATTGACTCAGGCATCGGTACATCAACAGCCGGTAATTCACCAAACCAGTTCTTATACACATCTGAAAGTGTGTCTCTGTAACTCACAGCCGCAGTCAGGCCTCCTGTAAATGCTGGATAGAACACCAATTTAAAAGGCCTTCGGCTCTTCTTCCTAGCAACAGCCCAGAGAAAAGTGAGTCCAGTTACAGTTCCAATGGAACCCAGTTTCAAATGTTCCCGGTCAATGGCGTCAAAATATTTGGTCACTTTTGGAAGATGAGAATAGCCAGTTTCAAAATAGAAGAAGAGTTTCTGTCTGGTTTCTGTTATGCGTTGCAATGTTGGCGTATTTTCAATTTCCGGAATTTCGGGCGTTGGTTGTGGCCTCGGGTAATACGAAAGGTCTTCCACCTTGACTCGGGTCATTATTGGTCACAATCTGAAAACTTCCCGATTGCTGAATTTTACGGTGCCCAACAACATTTCAAAAACACGTGAAACCATGAACTTTTTACACAATCAATAGCGGATTCCTGACCAAAAAAGGAAAAATTCATTTTTACAGGGGATTCTCCTACAGCATGTTTTTTTGATTGAATCGTTTATCTCAGATTTGGCACTGAAGGTTTCGAGAAAATAAAAAAATCCATAAAAAAAATTCAAAAAATAGATTTTTGCTTAGTCCAACATTGCCATTTTGCAAAAAAAGAGGCTTTCCGCTACGCAGAAAAATTTAACAGCTCATGTTTTTTATTGAACCCTTTATCTTAGATTTGGCAGTGCAGTGTTCGAGAAAAAAAAGTTACCAAAAAATGAGTTAAATTTTCAAATGGGACAATTTCCTTAACTTTTCCTCAACAAAAATTAGGTCAAAGCTGTTGAAGGAACGAAGATTCTTAACACTCTTTTTGCGTTGAATCATTAATCTTAGATTTCGCCGGGCAGTTTTTCCAAATTGGAAACATTTTCCAAAAACGGTCAAACCTTCACAAATTAGACGTATTAAAGGCCATAACTCTTTTTCAACAAAATTAGGGAGTAGCAGCTTATGCAAGGGAGATCCACAAAACGTGCTATTTTGATTGTAGCCTTAACTTAAGATTTGGGAGAGTAGTTTTCGAGAAAATGAAAATGAACCAAAAAAGGGTCGATAAATCTCCCACTGAAACCTTCGAAGGCCGTAGAATAGCAGGTCGGGCAGCGAATATGCAGGCACAAGATGAGTTGTCTTTTTTTTTCATTGGTACTACTTTGATGGTAATTAGAAAAGTATTTCGCGAGAAAAGTGTAAAAATTTCCCAAAGCGTCTCAAAAACTCAATAAATCCCATACATTTTCATAATACCTGTTTTTTTCTCAAACAGAAACTAACCATTTACAAAGCAGATACAGATGTTCAAAGCAAAATTAACACAGAGGCGAAGTTGCACTTCGCATACACAAGCAAAATATGACCGACAACGCTACTGGAAAAAACTGAATGAGTGAAACTTTGACTCTACAAAATTTCTTAAGTGACACACGCCAATTATGAGACTACATAATTTCTAAGTGACGCAAGGCAATTATAACGCATTAGCAGTACCAGTCAGTTTGAAAAAAAACAAACTTACCAACTAACATGCCTCAGTTTATAGCTCGGACGCATTCTAACTAGTATACGAAAAAGTTCATTAAAAACATCCGACCCTGCCCAGGTTCGAACCCTTTTATTTTGTTGCTGGTCTCCTTCCCTACCTCTAAGCTACAGATCAATGATACCTTGAAGCTAAAACGCTATTTGTAATATACTAGTCGGGCTTAATATAAATAGCAATAGCTGTACTTAATAGCTGGTTATTGATCAAAATGAACACATTTTGTCACAACAATATTTGAGACTAAGGTTGGAAAAAAAGAGAGTTCATACTATAACATAAGCTTTGCTTGTGTAAATAGATACAAATATTCAATTCAAATAGAATACAAATATTCAATTCAAATAGAAATCAAAAGTGAACCAGATATGAAAATGCAAAAGATCCACCAAATAAGCACTTTTTTGCGACTTGGGTTGGAAAAAAAGCGGATACCGTAATAAGACACTACGCTCCGCTTGTACAAAAACAGCAACTATTTAAGCAGTTATTTGCGATTTCTTCCAGTGATGCTGCAAAATTTAGAAATCAAAATTGAGGGGAGATGTTCTACACCCCCTTGGCACCCCACCTCCGAGTTTGGTCAGCCAAAAACTAGAACCCAGCTAAAGCTGGATAAACCTGCTTAAAGAATTTTGATTTTTTTTTGTACTGACTTGTAGAACCCAGCTAAAAATTGACTTTTCCGAAGATCATAACTTTTTGTGTAAACCATTTGGGCGTAACCGCTGACGCAAGCGAGCTTTCTACAACTTGTTCTACCCACTTAACCAAAACCTCACATTCGGGTGGGTAGTTTTCTGAAAGCCATAACTTTTTGTGCAAAAAAATTTGGGCATATCCACTGATGCACGGGATCTTCTCACAATCTGTTTTATCCATTGAACCTAAAAGCTCAGACTTGGGAGCATCGTTTTTGAGAATATAAAAAATCTAAAAATATGGGTCAAAAATTCACACAGACTTTCTCGAAGGCCGTAGAAAGTGGTTAAGGAAAAAAAGAGACTAGGAAATTATGCAAGCACACAGGGTAGTGGGCGGACTTCCCATTGGTACCACTTTTTTGGAAATCAGTAGAGATTTTTTTAATTTCCAAAGCGTCTCAAAAAAATTGTAAAAACCGATCCCAATAATTTTTTTCATAATGCGTGTTTTCATCAAACAGGAATTGAATGACATAAAATAGTACCCAATGGGTAGCTTTGACTTTTGACGCACACTACTGCTCTGAGCACTATAAAATACCCTTACTTTCTTTGAAACCAGCATTTGCTGGTTTCAAAGCAAACTAATCTCTCACGGCTGATTTACTTTGAAGATTCGAGTATTTTTAAAGCTCATTTCATATAAAACAAATATTACATTCATTAGCCCTTTCACAATCGAAGCATTTTACAAAATTAATTCTTGCATTTTCAAGGCTCATTTTTTGGTCTCAAACCTCGACTTGAGCTTTCTCGGTCGCATAAACTCATCAATAACATCTTCCGTAACCTCCGCTCTAAGTTTCTGATGATCAGCAACTATTTCTTGCAACAAACCGATCAATTTAGCTTTCAATTCACCCGTTAGTAATTTTCCACTGGTGTAATCTTGTCTTACTTGTTCCAGCTCTTCGTCGTCTTCCAGGAAAAACGTGAGATACTGGTAGGCTATATCTACATCACAGTTGCCGCCTATCTCTCGATGTTCTTCTACCGTAGCTTGTCCGCCAGAGAACGCATACTTATTGATTTTAGTCTTTATCTTTTTGGCTGTGTCTGTAAGAAAAATCGAAGAGGTTTCGTCACTCGCTGACATCTTGCACTGAGCTCCTGAAGAATGACCAACATTATTTAAAATTAAAACTGAAAGCTAGAATAACAGGGATAGTCTGTTATTGCGCATAATTAAATTTCACAACCACAGTTTATAATTTTTACAAAAAGGGAGGAAAGGGAAGAGAAAAAATTTCATAAACAAATTCAAAATCTTGTGTATTTTTGGGAAGGAGGGATGGAGTAATATTGAAACTCATGAATTAATAAACTCGTGAGATTAAATGATAGTTAAAATAAAAAATTAAACCGCCTTACTTGGTCTCCCAATCATGACTAAATTGTCTATTAAGGGCGAATCAAGGATTATTTCGAAGGGTGGGGTGCATTTTCAAAAACGTTTCTAAATTTTATATTTTTTTGGGTTTACTAAATTAATTTCTCTAGCTAGTATTGCTCCCCTTAAAATACTATATTTGGCGCCCAGTCTTCAGTGTAACGATTTACGGCTGGTCGACAATATTCAACATGTGACAATTCTTTGTTAACGTTATTATTGTTGTACGTAACCTCAGTTAGATAAATGTTTCAGGTGGGGTTTATGAATTAACGTATTGGTTTTATACCAGTTTTCATATGGTAGCAGTATTTAACGATGACCTCTGGAAACAACTGTAAAACCCCGCCTATCTGGACAGACGACAAGAGCTTTGACAACTGGGCCAGTGAGATTGATCTTTGGCTTGTTGTCACCGATCTCAAGAAAGAGAAGAGAGCTCCTTCCATCGTGTTGTCACTTCAAGGCAGAAAGCGAGATGTCGCCAGGGAAATACCTCTAGCCGAGCTAAATCACGTGGATGGCGTTCAAGTTTTATTAGCAAAGTTGAAAGAGTATTTTGCTAAAAGCTCGATTGACAGCTCATTTGAGGCGTATGTGAATTTTCAAGAGCTGACAAGGAAGTCAGGGCAACCTATGATGGAATATTTGCTGGCGTACGAATCAGCATATCAGCGTATTGAAAAGTTGGAAATGAAGTTGCCAGAGTCTGTACAGGCTTGCAAATTGCTGTATGGTGCTAGTCTCCAATTGACTGAACGGCAGATGGTTCTTGCTGCCACGAAAGATCTAGACGTCCAATCCATGAAAGGAACGCTGAAACGGGTGTTCTGTGATACGTTAACGCAAACATCACAAGACGCCAGGGAGTTGAAGCAAGAACCAGTTTTCAAAGTGACACAGGTTGACTCAGACACCGATAATACAGCCGGTGAAGAGCAGAGTGCTTTTTATGGAGGTAGCGGTCCTAAAAAGTTCAAATTCGCGTATCAGAGAGGCCGCAGAGGTAGCTCTGGACGAGGGAATAGAGGCAAACCAACTACCACAGGCCGCAATCCTAAAGAAAGCCAAGGCGCGGTAACAACCTGTCGTTTCTGTGGTTCACGAAATCACTGGGTTAGAGACTGCAAAGACAAAGCAGCTAATGACGACGAAAAAGGCGATGTCATGCTCACTTTTGCTAGTATTTCACCTTCTTTGTTGATTGAATCTCGTGGACTGGCCATTATTGATACCGCGTGTACAATAACAGTTTGCGGTACTAACTGGATGAACGATTTTGTCGGAGCGTTAACTGACAAACAGAAAGCGCTGGTACAGAAAAATGCGACTTCTTCCAGAGTGATGTTTGGAGGTGGTACTGTGTCGCATTCTATATCGCGTTGCACAATTCCCATACAATTGGGTGATTTCTGCTGTTGCTTAGATGTGGAAGTTATCCCCGGAAATCTACCGCTATTATTCAGCTTGAAGTCTCTAAAGAAGGGAAATGCAGTTATTGACACTGCTAGAAGCATTCTGACATTTGCTTCCGGGAGTGAAGTGACACTGAAAGAGATTTCCAGTGGACATTTGGTTGCTGATGTCAGACCTGTTTCCGATGCGTTTTGTTCCACAATTTTGATGGCAAGTGATTGCTTGACTTATGACAGTGTTTTGAAACTGCACAGACAGTTTGGACACTGCAACCCTGGCCGACTGCTTAAGCTGCTCAAAAACGCCGGTAAATTTGACGAGTTTACTGGCAGATTGATCGAAGACGTATGCAAAAACTGTAGAGTCTGTGAAAGATTTGGGAAAGCAAGTCCCAAACCCATCGTTGCACTTCCGTTGTCTGCTGATTTCAACGATACTATTGCCATCGACTTACATGAGATATCACATTCACCGCCGAAATGGTATGTTCATATTATTGACCTGCACACACGTTTCTCGGAAGCAAGCCTTATATTTTCTAAAACTGCTGAAACAATTGTCGACGCAGTTAACAAACAGTGGATTCTCAAATTTGGCGCTCCCAAACGAGTTTTAACGGACAATGGAGGCGAATTTGACAATGAAATGTTCAGGCAAAATGCCGGGTTTTATGGTTTTCAAGTCTCAGCCACTGCTGCAAACAGCCCGTTTTCTAATGGATGTTGTGAGAGACATAACGCTGTGTTGACGGAAACATTCGAAAAAGTATGTGCTGATCTTGGTCACGAAGACGAGAAACTCTGCCTGCAAAACGCGGTTTTTGCTAAAAACTGCCTTTTTTCACATTTGGGTTACTCGCCATATCAGCTAGTGTATGGCCGATCTCCGAGGCTACCGAATGTCATAGAAAGCGAACTTCCCGCACTTGAAGAGTTGACACAGTTGGAGTACTTTGCGAAACATTTAAATGCGCTCCACTCTGCCCGTAGAGCTTTCACGGCGGCAGAATCATCAGAACGGGTGAAACGAGCGCTTCGGTTCAACGTGAGAAACTACGAGAGATCATACAGCTCAGGTGAAGAAGTGTTTTACATGAAAGAGGGTCGCTGGACGGGTCCCGCGACTGTTATTGGCAGTGACTCGTCAGTCGTCTTTGTTCGTCATTCTGGGAGAATGCTGAAGGTTCATGCCAGCAAGCTAAAATTGAGAAAACCAGATGAGAAAGTCCGACAAGCTTCGACGAGTGAGGAAACTATCGAAAACTCCGTTGAGAGTGCGTGCGATCCAATCCCAGACGAGGGGAAACCGTTACGCCAAGAAAGTCTGGACTGTGACTGCGTCCCGAGACCGGAAAATCAGATTGAGGCGCTAGCGGATGTCCCTGACACGACAATTTCCAATGAGAGTGGCGAACAGGCTATACACGACAGTATCGACGTCCATATGCAACGTACTGGCCTTAAAAAGGGGCAAAAAGTGAGTATTCTGCAGCCCAGTGGTGTATTCCGAGGCGCGGAGATCATTGGCAGAGCCGGTAAGAAAGGAGGGAAGAACGAAAATTGGTACAACGTCCAGTACTTTGACGCTGATGCCTCTCAAAGTAGCGTTGAGTTACATCCGACCGATGTCAATTGGAATTGTGACGATACCGAATCCACAGAAGGGTTTATCATGCTCGTTGAAGATGCAGAAGGGCTAGGTTTCCATGAAGCAAAGCTAAGAGAAATTGATAATTGGAAAAACTTCGACGTTTTTGACGTTGTAAGAAGTCAAGGGCAACAATTTGTAACATCTAGATGGGTTTGTTCCGTTAAACCTACTGGTGAACATAAAGCAAGGTTGGTAGCACGCGGTTTCCAAGACCCAGATCTAGAGTCACTTGTTAGAGATTCACCAACCTGTTCGAAAGATGCGTTCCGAGTGGTTATGTCGATTGCTGCTTCACGAGAGTTGTGGAAATGTACTGCGTTGGACGTCAAATCAGCATTTCTTCAAAGTTTTCCGCTCAAGAGAGACGTTTTTTTGAAGCCTCCCAAAGGATTTGAGTCCCCTGACAATTTGTGGAAACTTAAAAAATGTGTCTATGGCCTTGTTGATGCCTCAAGACAGTGGCATGATCGTGTGAAATTCGAATTATGCTCCCTAGGACTAACACAGTCCGCGGAGGACCCATGCATTTTCTATCAAATGACAAGCGAATCGGAAGGTATCATAACAACACACGTCGATGACTTCTGGATGTGTGGCAATCACAGTTTTTTTGAGGCTGTTGTTGATAAGATCAGCCATATATTCGACGTTGGCAAGCTGGAAGATTTACCACACAAGTACCTTGGTCTAAATTTGAATACCACTGATACCGGTGGCCTGAAGCTCGATTTGGACCACTATAAGGCAAAAATTGCTGAAATGGAAGGCTTTGGTCGTAACAAGAATTCGGATCTTCTCAACAGTCAACAAGTCAAGGAATTACGTACTTTGATTGGAAAACTCATGTGGCCAGCCATGCACGTGAAGCCTGAGATATGTTTCACTCTATCTTATTTGGCTTCACAGTTACCTTATCCAACCGTGGAATTGATAAAAATAGCGAATAAGGTTGTTAGACACGTTCTGAACGGCCCTCCGATTGTTTTGAGCTTTCAGGCATTGAAAAACTGGTCAAATATCAGTATTATTTGCTTCACAGACGCTTCATTCAACAATAATGTCGATGGGTCAACTCATGGCGGACACTTGATTTTTGCCATGGAAACAGACACCCTGAAATGCTGTCTGATCAGCTGGAAAAGCGGGAAAATTCGACGCATTGCAAGGTCAACTTTGGCAGCAGAAACTTTTGCTATGATTGATGGCATCAATGCAGCTGTTTTTTGTCGAAATTTGATGGCAGAAGTGGTTGGTGCGGCCCCAAACATTCACTGCTTTACAGACAGTAAATCGCTCGTTGAGGCAATTTTCTCATCAAACGCTATTTGGGACAGACGCTTACGGGTCGACGTTGCTTTCATCAGAAGTACCGTTGCAGAGTCGTTTTTCAAACAGTTTTCCTGGATCAGAACGGACAAGCAGTTGGCAGATTGCTTGACAAAAAGAAAAAGCTCTTCAACAGACCTTTTGTGCCGTGTTTTAGCGTCTGGCAGTTTGGAACCGGCTCTGGGAGACGTTTGGAAGAAACAAATTGAACCCCGGTGCAATCCAGAAGACGAGAAACAAACTTATTGAGAAAACAGACGTGTATTGACCGTGTTTGATGCGTTGTCTACGATTTGTATTTGAATTTTACTTTAAACATGCAATCTCT